ATTCTGTTCCAATAGTGATAATTTCTTTCAAAAGGTTTAAAACTGACTCCTTTGAAATATATAATAAAATAGATAATTACAAAAGAAATCACAAATTTAAGCTTAATCAGTGAAATTCAATGTCAATGCACAATTATGTTATTTTTTTGTTTAATTTGTTATCACTTTATTTCAGGTTTTCTTCTCCACTTTTCATGTTTTCTATTAACCAAAACATTTCCTATAATAATATTCTTTTATGAACACATTTAAGATAAGGGTACGCAAATAGATTATAAAATTTAAAAATATTCTTCTTTAATTTTTATTCAAAGAGTAACTTGATACTGTTCATATAAAGGTTTAATATCCTATTTTGTCTCCAGTTTCGTTCGAAAATGTCAAATTAGTCCATCCTTTAAAAAATGCGTCAATTACGTCCTCACTTAATAAAATTTGCATCAATGAAATCCATTCCGTTAAATCCGTACAAACGATGTTACTTAATAAGAGAGAAAAATAATTAACGCTGTTTGTACGGATTTAACGATAGGGATTTCATTGATGCAAATTTTATTAAGTGAGGACGTAATTGACACATTTTTTAAAGGATGGACTAATTTGACTTTTTCGAACGAAACTGGGGACAAAATAAGATATTAAACCTTGATATAAATTAGCTTTAAAAGTATATCCCAAGAAAAATGTTTTTTTTTTTAAAAATGAACCAGACATATTTCAGTAATTTTTTTTTGTTTTACTTAATAATGAATACAAAAATAGTATATTATTCAACTTTATATGCATACAAAGAAATCAAAATGAAGGTGGGAGGACATTTAAAATGCAAGGATTACATGATTTTACTTTGAAATCTTAATTAAAATAGATTTTACCATGTAACTTTTTTTTAAGATTATTTTGTAAGTTTTGCTTTAATAAGGAAGCCTTATATAATAACTAAAGTTTATAACCTTGTATTTTTATAAAAATTCAATTACATGATTAATTTTTTTTTTGTTAAAAGAAATCACTTGAACAAAAGCAAGAATCAAATACATTTCGATCTAGTTTACTATAAAATCCAAATGGTCATTGTTTTATATTTCCTTTTAATTTATTTTTTCAGTTTCTATTAGTATAAAACTATTAAACATTTTGCTTCCAAATAATTAATAAATACTTTATAACAAAAAATATACTAAATATTTTTAGTATAATTATCAGTACATTGATAAATATTATCTACATGTCTAAATGAGCATCAAACAATGTGAATCACTTGACTTTGTGACCATCCATGGCTTCACTCACGTGTCTCCACCCAACTCACCCTCTTCTTCTTCATCTCGGTTCAGCTCTTCCCGCCATTTCCAACCGCTGCTTCAACTATTCCTCCTCACTGAACCGGACCCTCTCTGCAAAATCTCCTCGAACAGCTCCTCCACGCGCCATGACCAAGCCTAGTTTCTCACCAGCTGAAGACCAAGTTGCTTCTCGTAAGTTCTACAGTCCACTGATTCAACCCTATCTCTTTTTTTTTTTTCTCAAGCCTTAGTCTCTCTGTATGATTTTGAAGCTGGTGATTTTGAATTTGTGCCACCCCTGAGAATTGTGGAGTATCCAGACCCGAAATTGAGGGTCAAAAATAAGCGCATAGTTACCTTCGATGATAATCTGAAGAAGCTTGTCCACGAAATGTTTGATGTTATGTACAAGTAAGTTTTTTTAATGTTGAAGTGGTTTATATTTTTGCTTCAGCTGAGTAGAATTATGGTGGGCTACTGCTACGTTCTGTTTTTCTTTTCGTTTTAATTGAATTATTTAAAATGTGGCATCAGTTGGGTTTGAGCTCGAACCCAAGGCTTTACCTCTGTTCATTTTCTTGGTTCTAACCCCCAGAGCGATATGCCATTTGTGGAATGTTCGGGTTTTAGTGCATTTCAGTGTTTGCTCTAATTTGGAAGGAAAGCTTGTATTTTTTTTAAAGCACGGTTGTGAAGATTGATTTTCAAATTATATAGGCTACTTTTCCTCTCTTTTTTTAATACTAGACAAAAAGAAAATTTACTCAACAAACCCTGACAATATTTTTCTCAACGGATGTTTCCTTACAATATAAGAGTGTTCTTTATTGTAAGCAATATCAACCATAATAGAAATTTGAGGGCAGTTTGCTGTTTCAAACACTGTATTTTGTTTAGAACTTTTATCTAAAATACCCCTACTGTAAGAGAAGGCAGTTTAAATTGGAACTAAGCATGCAATATATTTTAAATTATGTTGAATATGAATAAGCTCTACTAATTCATATTTTACTGTCAATATAATATTATATTGTAATTCAAATAACATATTCTCAATTAGTTGAATTGTTAACAATATTGGTTGGCTTCCCACAGAACTGATGGTATTGGTCTCTCTGCACCTCAAGTGGGAGTTAATGTTCAACTCATGGTGTTCAACCCAGTTGGTGAGCGTGGTGAAGGAGAGGAGATTGTTCTTGTAAACCCAAGGGTTAGCAAATACTCAAAGAAATTGACCCTATTCAACGAGGGCTGCCTATCTTTCCCTGGAATTAATGCTGATGTAAAGGTACCTAACAAAAATCCTTTTCTTTTACACCATTCTTTTGACTGTATCTTTCCTTTTAGACCTGTTTTTGGAGAAGTGGAGTAGCAAATTTTGAATTTTAGTCAGTTTGAAAAGTTTATCGTGCTTGATGAATACAGAGTCATGTTTCATAAAATCATGGTATTTTGTCAGTATGCATGATTCTACAAATTTTAATGGCCTGAAAGATCATGATCATGCTCTAGAACATGTTGTGAAGTCATCTAGGATTGTAGTGTTTACAAATAAATGGAGGGATCATGTGATCCTCCAAGCTGGATCAAAATACCTATGGGACCCAAATTGCACTCTTGGCTCTTCCAACCATAATTTTGGCATTTCCCTTTTAACAAAATATGTTATCCAGCATTCCTCTTCTGTGCTTGCACATCCCATCTGTACTGGTGTTGCCTGTCTTCTCTAGTGTGTTGGACTTAAACTCACACTTGGATTCCCAACACAGTGCACTAGTTGTCTTTGTTGATCTGATTCAGTGCCAGTGCAGGGTCAGAGGCTAGTACAGTGTGCTACTGGTTCCTATGTTTCTATCTGTTGACTTATGTGGGGATGTGCTGGACAATGCTCAATTTTCCTTGTACCAGTGTTGTTTACACCACTTTATTTTTCTGGTTGATACAGGATCTTTATACCCTAACGTTATAATTGTCTTGTATATATCTTAAGTTGTTTTTCCTTTTAATGTTGCTTTCAACATGTGCTCAACCGCAGGAATATAGCCATCTTGTCGTTTGTTTCATGTTTATTTACTCTAATGCCTACTTATTTGTCTCGTAATTGTGGTTTAGCGACCAGAATCTGTGAAGATTGATGCACGTGATGTTAATGGAACTAGATTTTCAGTCAACTTGTCTGACCTTCCTGCACGAATATTCCAGCATGAATTTGATCATCTACAGGTGTGCTTCAAACTTCGATAACTAAAGCAACTAGTGTTTTAGTTTGAGCATCTTATTTTTATATAACAAAAAATCGTAACAAATATTTTTTTTAAATACATGGGTTATATTATAATTATATTCATAATAGATAAATATCTTTGAATGTATAAAATATAATTTGAATTTATTTTAATTGTTATATAAGGGTTTTTTTAATTATTGACAAAGTTTTGTAAAAAATACTATGAAAATTCAGCTTGGAGATAGAGATGAAATATTATAAATATCTCATCATATCATTACTGTACAATAGAACAAATAAAACCTTGCACCTCTTGAGCATGATTTCCAAGTTTTGTTATATTTTATGATTTGTATCTTTCTTATTTTCTTTTAAATCAAGATAAGAATGCTATGGCATCGCTTTACATGTTATAATTCTAACTAGTTAGCACAACCTATATTAATCACATGCAACATCCCTAATACTATTAATAAAAAAGAAAGGGAACTACAACAGTAGAGGAATCAAACTAAACCCATTAGGAAAACCTAAAATATGGAAGACTGATCTATCTCCACAATAATCACAACAGATGCATGGAGGAACACCCTCCCACCAAATGAAAGCTAAACCCATAATACCATGCTTAGTTAAACTATTAGGACACCTGATAGCTTCTCCAAAAATATGAGGAATTCTAAAATACTTGACCTACTCAAGGAAACAAGAAAACAATTTTATTGATAACAATCACAGGAATTACATTCTCAGCTCCTCTATTTGTAACAATCAATCTCTCTAAAATATGAAAGCAATATATGCTAAAATAAATAAAAATTAGAAAGATATTTTATCATAATCAATACGTAGACACTGAAGATATTTTTGTCCCAATAAACCACTATTTACAATAATTCCTCTTAAATTGGTAAATGAATATCAATCATTCATAACTTTTCATAGGATCCTTGAAACTGTTCTAATGAAGACCTTTAGTGAAAGTGTGTTAACTGAAGTCTTGCAAGGACACAAGTTGTAACGACAAGGCTTTTGTCTAGATTATTTTTGATAAAATGTTTGTCAATTTCAAAATTTGTTGTCATGTCATGTCCTAGATCATGGACAATGTTGATGACTAACTTATTGTCTACCTTGATTTTAACGTCAGTCCGACCTTGAGCAATGACTCAAAATCCAATTTTTGTACAGGAACGAGATATGCAGCTGTATTTTTAAGTAAAGTGAGATCAGAGTGGGTGAAAAAGATAGTAGGCTTGTACGATCTTACTGGATCGCGATTTTGACTACTATATATAGCCTAATGTTATCTGGAAACTGCAATCAATTGTCAACTAAATGTACTTCAAATGACATGTAAATGAGGGATCTAGAATCATCTCAAGTGTGGTTGAAAATTCAAAGGCTAAAAAGAAGGGAAATTTGAAATTCAAAATTACAAAAGAAATCATGATAATCTTGGAAGTTGGCAGGAAGTTAGGAGGTGCTCTCCACGCCTGCACATGCTTCCCATGCCTCGTGTTAACATGCCTTCATTGTCCCTTCTCACGGAAGAATGTCGACTACCTCCAATTGGCCTTTGCCTAATGCTTTCTTCTTTTCTTCTTGCACTCCTTGCATTGTTGTTAGCCATCTCTTCGGTGTCTTCTTAGGCTTGATAAACCCAACTAAACCTAATCTAAACTTTACTAATTGCACATAAAATTAAAAGAATGAAATCCTAAAAATTACAAGTCCAGAGAATACAAAAAGAAAAATAAGGACTCTTTTGGTGAGAAAGAACAACCTGTCCTGTAATGTTTTTTGTGATTCTTCTAGATATAATGTGTTTTTTCTCGTTTTTAACCCTGTCATTCGAACACTTATCAACACTTGTACTAGTGAGATGCTCTTCATACCCCAACCATTCCAGAAAGAGACGTTGGAAGCCCAAGTTGAGTAGTTTACACCATACAATTTTCTTATAATTGGGGAAAATTGAAGAAAGTAGGGGTGTGATTTCAATTTAGTTGGGAAGATAAGGGTGTCATCCCTATTTTTTACATTGTTTTGTAGGTCACTAAACAAAACCTATAGCTAACAAACAAAGTAAATAAAAAATCAAAGTTGTTGTGGTGTGCTTTTAAGGATGTATTGCTGGGGATGAAACTCCAAGGGTAAATGTGCTTTAGTGAAGCAACCCACATGAAGCAAGTGCAACCAAAAATGGTAAGATACGCACTGATGAAGTGTGTTGTTTGTTTGGCAAGCCAAAGAAGTTGCACACATTCTTGTGAGTGCTTCTATCGTCACACTTTGGCTCAATCTAGATAGGACGAGCAAGGACAAGTTGATTAATGGGTTTTCTAGGTCGAGGGGCAGCCAAAATAGTCGTGATGACTATGTTGAAGCCCCAAAAGTTTGTGAGAGAAGGAAAACAAGTCATCCGATTGTAGACAACAAGCAAGAGGGTAAACCAAAGAAGGTCCACAAAACAGTTTGAACATTGGGTGGGGACTGTGGACAAATCAAGTAGGTATGACTTTGAAGGTTCCTGTATAAGGCTTTGGATACCATGCTAAACAATAAAAGTTTGAGACATTATACTTCATATGCTGAATGACACCATTTGGGTCTGATTTATATAGTGATTGTATTAGTTACACATTATTAGAGGATATTCCGTTTCCTTTGAATCAATTATCAAAATCCTGTCAAATCACATACGTTAAATGTATACTATTTTCTTCCTATTAATTCTTGATTTTCAACATCTTTTATTAATTTATTCACTTGATTGTAATGCAAAATTAGTTCAAAGTTGAGCTTTTTAAACTAATTTTATGTAATGACTTGGTATAATTTTAAACTAATGTAAATTTGAGCATATGTTTACGTGTTGTTGTTGTGTCTACAGGGAATTCTTTTCTTTGACAGAATGAGTGAAGATGTTCTTGATAGTATTCGTGGGCAATTACAGGTTAGAAAATCCTTTTCCTGTTTTGCCACTCTGTCACTTATATATCTTCTATTGTTAGAAGGATTATTAAGTGTTCTACAAGAAGTTTTTGGAATGTTCTAGATATCTCTTTGTAATTATTACTTTATGATTAGAGTTTTCTATATATGGAGGCTGATGTGCTGCTTAATAAGAATCTTTTTTCTTTCAGATTATTCCTTTCAAGTTCTTCCTTTGATTTTATAATACATTCTTAGAAAATATTCATTTCTTTGCATAAATAAGCTAGACGAGTCATTTCGTGATGAGGTTTTTAGCTATGATTTGTGATGTACTTACTGTAAGGTGGAGTTGATTAAGCCCGTAGTAATCAAAACTAAAAATCTAATTTCTATCTGTAGCCCAACTTTACTTGTTTTAAAAAAGATAGAAAAACTTCTGTCAGAGAGCGAGCCTTGTGAAAGGTATAAGGTACCTTGTGACTTGGATGTCATAAGTTCAAATCTTGAAAATAATATATCTACTTGTGGAGATAAGGCTGCATGTAGGCCTGGTCAAGAAAACTGAAACTCAGCTAAACTATTTTGAGAATAACTGGTTTGAATGTATCAAGTTGGATATTATTGAAATAAAAAAATTGGTTATATTTGGATTTGTTGGGTGGGTGTGGGTGATGTAAAAATAGTCTGTCAGAATTCACACTTGACCAAAAGCAATTGTGTTTAAAAACTTGAACAAGTGACTCAGTCTATGTGATAGCATAATATAGTGATGGTGATCCACCTTCCAGTATTGTATAATGGTAGGACAAAACCTCATATCCGGGAAGAGTAAAAACAAAATTTTAGTTTCAAGAACCTGTGCAAAAGCTGAATATAAGAAGATGGAGGTAGCTACTGGCGAACTCATTTGGTTGAAACAGGTCATTGGGGAACTCAAGATTGAAGAATTTATACAAGTGACCATAATTTGTGATAATCTGCAGTTTTGGACATTGTATCTAATGCAATGTTCTACGACAGGACCAAAGACATTCAACTGGACTATCACTTTATTAGAGAGAAGATCAAGATAGGAGATATAACAACTAGATTTGTTAACTGTAGTAATCAATGGTATGATGTTTTCCCAAATCCTTAAGGGGTCTGTGGATTAGCTATATATCTAGTAAAAGTGGTTACATATACAGGAAATAATATCTACATTAAAAGAGGTTTGTTTGCAACAAAGATCTTATCTAGAGGAAACAAAATCTCCTCTTATCATTTGCATTTCATTCAATAGAATATGGGTGTTTATTCAAAACTTTCATTGTTGTAAGAGTAACACAAATTAATCATTCAAGAATATTTATCACAGTTCTAACGGTTTATTTCATCTGTTGCACAAAGTAAAGATCTATGATGTCTATATTGAGTTCAAAGGAATTAAATTCTAGAGAAAGACTGTTAATAAATGTTTCGGTTTTGGTTAAATTATTACAGGCCCTAGAAAAAAAGTACGAGGGAATGACTGGACTCCCAAGCCCTGAAAAGGTAGAGAACAGCAAAAAGAGAAAGGCTGCGGTTGGTTTTGGGAAATGATTATCTTCAAGGTCTTTTCTATGATAAATTTTATTTTTCTCAATAGCATAGATATTTAAGAGTTTACATTGAACTGAAAACGGCTTACTTATTTTACAGGTCAATATTTATAACACTGAATTTATCACATAAAGACATTTCTCAGGGTGGACTTCCTTGTCTAGAATTGTTTATGCATACTGATCACAAGACACCTCTATTATAAACAATGCCAGCGTCAGTTGTTCATGTTGCCCTAAAGAAGAGAACTGTCTCGAAGAGATATTTCCTATTGATTTATTGGTTTTAATTGTGGTTCTTGAGGTCACCTGTGGAGTTGATTTTTTATTTTTATAGGCATTTACTATGTATTATTTTGGGAGTTATTACCTGATAACAGCTCATGGAATGGAAGAAAACCTTTTTTTATATGGTTTGCTCTCAACATCCCAAAGGCAATAATTGTTTGTAATAAAAGGGCCAATTTTAGTTTCATAGCTTCACTAGTCTTGAATGGTTATCACTGTCTGTGTGGATGGGGCTTTTGGATTTTATACTTGCATTTTAATTTTCAGTGCAGTTGTGTACTTTAGTGTCTCTTAACTCGTTTTGATATCTAGGCATTGGATGTCTTCAAGTGAATTATTGGGGGCACTTGTCCCAGGGGTGATTCTACATACTAGGAAGAATGGATAGAGTAAGTGGTTATCTATAATTAACCTTGCTTTTACCATATTCTCATTCTTGTGGATGAACCAATGGAGGTGGACGTTGGTTAAACACTGATGGAGTTTGTTTGTGTAATGCAAAATTTGAATGAATCATCACACTCTTATGTAGCTCTCTGCAGATCATGCTTTGGCTTATTTTCTATAAAAGCTATTTGAATCTGTCGTAAATTTCACAATAGGGAGTTTTAACTGATTCCATTAAGCTATAAATAGTTCATATTAGTTTGAACAAAGAGTGTGAATTTGATTCTTATGTAGAAGGTAGAGTCTTGAGCCCTTTTGACTGATGCTTTGAATCATCAATTGATTTTTCATAGTCTATATCTTCTTCCTTCCCATGTTGTTCTTTTGCAAGATGTTGACTCTGCAATTTAAAGAGTAATGATTTATACCATAATTTTTTTCCTCTAAATTTAAAAGGGGATTGTAAATCCAAAGAATGTAATTTTATTGAAGTCATTTGAAGCGTCTTAACATAATAACAAAAACACTCACAAGAGCAAGGTCAGTCAAAAAAGAAATATTAAAGAAACAAAAAATAAATCAAAGCAAATAAATTTCTAATAACAAAATAAAATAAAAGAAATCAGCTAAAACCAAATAAAAAGAAATAGAAAAAACAACACAAGAGACACAAAACATGTTATGAAATAAAATAACATTAACCAAACCAAATTAAACCAAGATAAATGAAATAAAAAACCACAACAAATGAAATAAGTTAGTAAAAAAGTATAAATTAAGTATTAATAAAACATTAAAAAAATAATCATAATAAAAATTAATATTATTAATTATATTAATACTATAATTTAATAATTAAATGAAATTAATTTAAAATAACTTAATCAATTAAAATATTTTTTATTTTAACTAATCAATCATATTTTATTTTAAATTTAACCAATTTTTTCAATTGGATTTTTTTTAAACTCAATTATTTTATTATAAAACTATCTAAAAAAATTATAAAAATTATTTATATTTAATTTTATGAATAATATAATAATAGTTTTATTTAGTTTTATTATAAAAAATAAAAAGTAATAATAATTTTTAATATAACTATAATTTAGTCTTATAATTTCAATTATTAAAAAAGAATTTCTTTTATTATTTACATTAATTAAATCATTCACGAACCTTCTCCTATTTTTCTATATTTTTCATTATCTTTTCTTAATTAAAAAAAAATCTTATTTTTACGTTTTTTTTTTCATATTCATTCTTTTCCACGAACAAACTTTCACAATGAAAACATTGGATTTTATTTATTTATCAGAGACAATATGAAGTTTAAACAAGATATTTAAATTTAAGATCATCAATTATAGAAACAAGATGAGAATTTTGTTTGCAACCAAGATGGTTTGTGCTAAAAGCAAACATTTCACCTGCATGACGAAGAAGGAAAAATTAGTCAGAGAAATCACAAACAAGAAACAAATGAAGAAGACGCAAATTTGGAACAAAAATAAAGAGTATACAGAGAGAGGAGAGAATAACCTAATGTAAACCGGCGTGTGTGCTCACAGAGGAGATGCTGCTGCTGGCAAGTCCCACTTGTGTGTTTGGGCGTTTGAAGAAGAAAGTGTTCCCTCACGGAACAAGGTATGTTGCATTCAATTTTTATTCATTAATAATTTGAGATGCATATGTAAGAAGAAAATGTTAATTAGTTTGCCACCTACCCATTTTGTGTAAAGGTTGTATGGGTTAGTGGTTCAAAATTCTGAATGGGTTTCAATTATTGGTTGCATCTTCGCAGGAGATGAGTTTTGTGAAGTTCACACCAACTGATTCTTCGTTCGAAGTTTGGATAGAGCACTTGAGTGGAAGCTTGGAAAAAAAATCCAATCTTGGTCATACTTGGAAGGAAGATTGTCATGTCGTACACTGCTAAGACAACAAGCTTAAGGTATGCCATTCCCAAATTTAGTGTCTTTCTGAGGTTCTTTTCTAATTCCCAAAACCATAACGCCAAAAGCAATTCTGGGTTTGATGCCATTGGTGATGCTGTGGCCTTATTCAGTCGCTTAATCACTATGCACCCTCTTCCATCTGTTGTAGAATTTAACATGATTTTAGGGTCAGTAGTGAAGATGAAGCATTACTCTACTGCTATATCATTGTTTAAAGAAATGGGGTTGAGAGGACTCACCCCTTCTATAGTGTCTTTGAGTATCTTGATCAATTGTTACTGTCACTTGGGTCACATGGGTTTTGCCTTTTCAGTGTTGGGCATGGTTCTCAAGATGGGTTATCAGCCCAATGCAGTAACCTTGACCACGCTCATGAGAGGGCTTTGTGTCAATGGTGAGGTTAGGAAAGCAGTGGACTTTCATGATAGCGTGGTGGCTCAGGGGTTCCTGTTGGATGAAGTTAGTTATGGGACCTTGATCAATGGGCTGTGTAAAATAGGACAGGTAAGAGACGCCTTTGAGTTCCTGCAGAAAATGGAAGTGCAAATGGTTAGGCCTAATGTAGTAATCTACAATATGATGATTGATGGTTTGTGCAAAGATGAATGTGTAACTGAGGCGTATGGTTTATATTCAGAGATTGTTGGCCGGGGAATAAGTCCTGATATTTTTACTTACACTTGTCTGATTCATGGTTTTTGTAGTTTGGGGCAGTGGCGAGAAGTTACCCAGTTGTTGTGTGATATGGTTGACAAAAAGGTCAACCCAAATGTTTATACCTATAACATACTAATTGATGCATTATGTAAAAACAGAATGTTCACTAAAGCTCATGATATGTGTAATTTGATGATTGAAAGAGGTGAACAACCAGATGTAGTTACTTTCAACACTTTGATGAGTGGATATTGCTTGTACAATGATGTGGATGAGGCAAGAAAGTTATTTGATACATTTGTTGAATGGGATATTGTGCCTGATGTTTGGAGTTATAACATCTTGATTATTGGGTATTGCAAGATTAAAAGGATTGATGAAGCTTTGATCCTCTTCAATAAAATGCATTGCACCAATTTGGTTCCTAATATTGTAACTTACAGTTCTGTTATTGATGGCTTGTGCAAATCTGGGAGAATCTCTTACGCGTGGGAACTTTTTAGTGCAATTTGTGATGGTGGTCCATCCCCTAATGTTATCACTTACAATATCATGTTAGATGCTCTTTGCAAAATTCAACTTATGGACGATGCAATTGGATTATTTAACCGAATGTTTGAAAGGGGATTGACTCCTAATGTTTCGAGTTATAACATCTTGATTAATGGGTATTGCAAGAGTAAGAGGATTGGTGAAGCCATGAACCTTTTCAAAGAAATGGATCACAGAAATTTGGTTCCTGATTCTGTAACTTATAATTCCCTCATTGATGGGTTGTGTAAATCTGGAAGAGTCTCTCATGCATGGGAGCTTTTCTATGCGATGCATGATGGTGGTATGCCAGTTAATGTTATCAGTTATAATGTCTTGTTAGATGCTTTTTCCTAAGCACACCATGTTTTCTGGGAAAGTTATTATTAAACCTAATGTTTGAAAGGGGATTGACTTCTTATGGTTTTAGCCATTGCATCTTGATCGATGAATATTGCGAGGGTAAAAGGATGGAAGAAGCTATGAATCTCTTCAGAGATATGGGTTGCAACAGTTTGATTTTTGATTCTATAAACTCATCTTTGCTATTAATGGCTCAGGAATCTGGGAGAATCTCATCTGCATGGGAACTCGTGGATGATATATGTATATGATAATGGATGGCCATCTATTACTTACAAGTTACAATATCTTGTTAGATGGTTTTTTTCAAAACCAGCAACTCGACAAGGTGACTATTTTAATTCAGTGCTGTCAAAAAATAATTCTTTGACAGGTGCAAATTGCCCAATGGGTTGGTTTTACAGAGATCAAATACTTAACATTGCACTAGAGATTTTTCAGCATTTTGGTTGAACTTGTTAATGTTGTCACATGTAACACCATTATCAATGGACTCTGCTTAGAAGGTTTGTTCAGTGAAGTAGTGAGATTTTTAATGGACGTAAAAATGAGAATGATAAAGCATAGGAGCTACTTCAAGAAATGTTTGCTGGAGATCAGAACAAATGATAAAACCTGGTGAGATACAGCAGCTAATTCACGCTGAAATCTATACTTCTATACTTCCATAAAGATAGGTTTGGATAAATGCTTAGCAAATCATTTTTGCAGCTTTGATGTAGGTTGAAACCCATGGAAAATTCATTGTTGCATATAGTCTTGCATGGTCATCTCGAATAGTTCATGAAAGGTGGCACTCTCTTGAGGTAAACAATGTTTTTGTGAGAATATTTCAGGCAATTTACATTTATCTTGGAATAACTTATCTATTTCTTAAATCAACAATAGTGCATATAAGATTTAGCATGTAAATTCTAATGTAATTAACAAGAGTCAACTTTCTTTATGTACATTGCTTTTTAAATTTCTGTGGTTGTTTCTTTTATGTTTTATTTCTATTCTTATTTTTTGCTTCGATGAAGGTTTCTTGCTCTCCTTTAGTCTCTCAAGAGCTTTCATATGTCTTCCTCTGTTGTTCTACCAGAATATACATAATGTATTATAATCTCTTTTACATCTACCAATTTGAATTAATTAATGAACACTACTTGTTGCTGGAGGAACAATTTGGATTGACATGTAACTACGTATTAAATGTCAGCATATCGTATTGAAGTTCAATTTTCAATGAATGTCTGGTTTGTCACAGAAGATGTCGATTATCAGTTTATTCTTAATGAAATCATTAAGGCTTCTTTAATGTTTCTGCTAGGCTCTCCCATACTATCTCTGAATATGTTGAACTACCAGGATCAGGTAAAGGAATTGGAAACCACAGCAAAAAAATTAAAAGGGCAGTTCATGAGCATAAACAGTTGGTGTGGAAGGACCTGAACCCCAAAAGTTGTTCACCATTAATGTTATTTCTGTAATCCTTGGTGCAAATTGTACTGCTTTAATAATTGCTTGTTCTGGTTAGATTTTTTAAAAGAAGAAAGATAGAAATTGAGATTCAACTGAGGGTTGAAAATTCAAACCCAATTTTCTGTATTGAATTTACTCTTAGATGTGTTGATTTCATTGTTCAGTATAAATGTATGTTAAAGCATTGAACGTGGGCAAAGGTTGCTAATAATATCAATGTTGAATCAAAAGAAAGACATTTTTATATTAAAAGAATGTAAATAACATTTGTATGACTCAGGTGGAGCCTAAATTTTCATTCACTTTACAATTAACTTTACCAGATGGAATAAATTAACTAGTTAATCTTGAGTTAGAAAGCTTGTATTTACTTGAACATTGATTTTGGTTAATCATTTTAGCAAGAACCCAAATCTTTCTGTAATCCATATATTTCTAATATAGTTTTTTTTTTCTTTTGGCCTAAATGGAACATATGATTACGACCAATCACCCATAATGTCTGTGTATTAATAATATTAGTGATTGATAATTATAAGGTGGTGGTGGACCACAATTATCAAAAGAAGAACAAAAGAAGAAAAAGTAAAAAGCCCAAAAGGCAAAAGGCAAAGCTTGCGTTTTGCACATAAACCACGGACAAAAAGAATCTTAATCTTCCAATCTGTAAAAGCCAAACAACCCAAAAACAGTTATAAAAATTAAAATAAGCCCACAAAATTTCTTTTCTTTTTATAAAATATTAAAAATAAAAATTGAAAAGCGCTATCATAACAACCTAAGCGGCTCCGCCGCTGCAAATTCCGGCGAGCGCGACAGGAAACCGATTGCAAAGGCTCTCTGCCGCCCGTGCTCCGTCGTCGACGTCGGCAGTGGGCGGAAGAACCCTCCCGTCGACGAACAGCACTCTTCCACCGTTCCTCTGCTGGTGGCCGGCGACCATCCCCTCGAGCTCCGCCGCCGTGCCGTAGAACTCGCCGTCGCCGAAGCGCCGCTCCACCTCCAGAAACTCGCCCAGCGACGCCGATCTGGTGTCCCCATCGCGGCAAAGCTGCCACCACTTCCGCCGTCTCTCCGCTGCTGTCGACGTCGACACGATGGTAGCCCTTTTCTTCTTTTTGACTGCTGCGGCGGTCCTCCTTGCACCGCCGGTGACCTCGGCTGCGGAATTTGGGTTCCGGTGCTGCGATGGGACTCTGAATGTAATGGTTGGGAAGTTCACTCCCATCAGAGTCCCCAATGTAGTGCTTCTGTCATGGAAGAATGATCCGGTGGACTATCATTCAAAAACCCAAAAGGAAAAAATTAAAACTTTTGATTAATCTGAAGTGAAAAAGGAAAAATAAATTCTGGGGTGTGAAAAAAATTTGAGATTTCTGAGAACTTTAAAAGATGCAACATGAATAACTGATATCGAACATGATGATACCTCAGTGTCAAGATCAGATGAAGAAATGGAAGAGATTGTGGGTGAAGATGGTGGTGGCACCAATTCAGTGGCTGGATCCAGCATTGTTGTGTTATGACTTGTGAGAAATGGATCAGAGATGAAAGCAGAGAAAATCTCTGAGGTGAAGGTTTTGGGAAGACTATATTGTGTCAACTATGACTCTTTTTGAGGTTGAGATTTGTAGGTTTATATGCACAATAAGGAAGGAATAGATGAAAAAGCATGTTGGAATCAAAGGAATAGGATGCATTTGAAATGATTGTTGCTTTGGGTGATTATCAGTTTATCATTATCAGTGGTGGAAACTTCAAATCCACTTTTAATTGGACATTTTCTTTGAAACCAAAATAAAAAGAGAGTTGGGTAATAGAATTCAAACTTGGAAATTACATTCTTAATGTATGTTTTGAAACTTTTGTGAACATTGTTAATGCAGTTAAGTTAATTAAATTTGGATAGATGACTTTAGTCAAATGTTAACCATAATGTAAAAGGTAAGGAATGCCTTATGATGTCATATTTGCTTATTTTTTGAGGTTCTATAGCCTTGTTTGCTTTCTTATAGGTTACATTTGAGAAAAGGTGAAGGGATTAGTCAAAATGTATTGGTAAGATGCCTCAATTATTGTTTTTCCTCTTTTCTCTCCTCAGAACAAAATTTTCTTTACTCCTTACTTTTTGCACACAATAGCTTAACTTAGTATTTGATAGACGTGTGAGGACAAGGAAAATGTTTATCATAAATGTGATTTCTTTTATATGACTCTTGTTTTGAAAGGAATGAGTTCCTATATATAGATGGTTTTTTAAGCTGAAGATGCAAACTTTGAGTAGACTACTAGCCTTGCGAAAATCAATAAGAAACATTTTTTTTTTAATTTAAGAATTAAATATTTTTTTCTGAAATTATTTTTAAAGTTATGTTTAGTTTTTAAATTAGAATATGTACTTATTTCGTTTTTGCATTTTTATATAGATAACCTCAACAAATGATAAATGAAAATTATATTATAATTTATTATAAATTTTTTTGTATGATAAATATTCTGTCCTATTTTGTTAGAAAGATATTTTACATAATTTTCAATATATATACATATATATATATATATATATATATATATATATATATATATATATATATATATATAAGTATAAACAAAACATAAATTTTTAAAAGTAATTTAAAAAACATAATTAACCCTATATTTAATATAATAATATATAATAATATTAGGTGAATACACGGAGGAAAACACTGGAGGCTTTCAACTAGAGTTAGTTTAGATATAGTTCAGCTGAAAGAATGGAATAACTTCATTTAAATTAGAAAAGAAAAAATATGAACCATTAATAAATTATGATATGTTATAAAAAATTGTTAATAAGATTGATTTAATATTAAACTCAGGAAAATTATAACTTCTGTCCATTAAAAAATGTTGGTGTAATTAAAGTTTGTAAATTGGGCAGAAACAATAATTGAATTATTAACATCTATTGTAACATGCAGCATAGTTTTGAATGGGTGCAGAGAGATAACCTAATGATGCTTGTGAGTGGTAACAGATGGATTATAATATGGACCATTTTAAGAAAAGGTAAGGAGATAAATTAAGTATTAAGTACTGAAACATCATAACCAACATGATATAAAAAATTACGTTAATGGTGTACTTGAAGGTTACAACTATGCTCAAGGTCATACTTGTTAAAAAATAATGGGTAGAAAATATAAATTATAATAGGTAAGAAGTATAAGTTACAAGGAAATGGTGATTCAAATCTTCAATTTAAGCCAAAGCTAGATTGAGAGAGACTTTCACATGATGGTATATTTCTGTCCATGTCTCCAACTAAAAGCTGAATCAAAGCTTAATGTAGTTTTTCTTTTCTTAATATATTCAACAATAGTCTCTTACAAACTGTTTGAACTGATAGAAGTGTTTATAGAAAGTATTAAGAATCTAAATATGAATTCCAAGTTTCATATTAAATAAAAAAAATGAAAAACTTGAGATATAAAAAAAAAAGAAAAAGACAATTAACGAACATTTGAGTTTGAAGGTTTTACTTTGAGTGTGATATCAGATTTTTTTATATAAACAATTCATATCTTATTTGTAGTGAAACTCTCCAATTTCAATAAAAAGGAAATTTCAAACAATTGTATTAGAGTTTAATTTGTCTTACTAGATACTCAAGTTAATGAAAGACAAAATAAAATAATACAATAAAATCTTTAAAAAAATCATTTATTTATATTAATTTTAGTAATAATGACAAAATGTAAGTTTTTAAGAATTCCGTTAAATATTTATCCAAAATCTTTATTATTAAATATTGATTTGAATGTTAGATAATCTTTTACATTTTTTACATGTATTTTTTCTTTCTTATTCAATCAGAGTTGAGCATAATAAAATTATATAAGTAACGACAAAAATATATTAAATGATCGATGATTTTAGAAGACTATCTCTTGTAAGATAAAGAGATTAATAATAAACTCAGAGATCAAAATATTATCATAGATAAAGAGATTTTCATATATTTTTTTATACATAACATAACATTATATATGATAGTCAATTAATAAGTTAAAGCGTTGTTATAAAGGTGTTTTTGATAGTTTAAGATTTATTTAGGTTAATATTTTTACAACATTCATACATAGTGTTACCAAAATGTTCATACAACCTTGTGAGTTGTTATAACTCATTTTAAATTGTGGAATTGGCACCATGGTGCATGAGTCATATGATATGATCAAAAGGGAATTGCATAAAGTGGGAAAAAGGCTATGCCATCATACATGGCGCACGAGATTTAGCACATCAAACTCACATGGTCCTTCCAAATTCATACTAAATTCACGTGGAGTTTGAGTTTTCTTTAACTTTACAGCTCAATTGGGGGGGTTTGGGATTCATGGAAAAAGTTTCAAGCACAAATGTTGCACATTCATTCTATAAAGGTTTTGGCCTTTCTAAAATTGAGAACATTTTTTCTATTTTTTTTATACAAAGAAATGTTAAATAGTAACTTATTTTACCATATTTCTCACTTCAAAAAATCGTGTAAGAAACAGTAGATATGACAAATATTTTCATTCCACTGTTTTCCTGTTTCATTGCCATCTTAAAAAATCAGGAAATATGTTAACTTGAATTAGTATCTATTCAAGTACTATTTACCATTGCTAACTTAAAATGGTTATAGAAATATATGAAATTGAAAAGGATGAATAACAAACATGTGTACTGTGTAGGGAATATATTAAGAAATTTTTTGGACCTATTAAATTAAAGTAAAATATTAACATGATTATCTATGTAACAAAAATATTTGTCCGAGGTAACTTCACATTTTGAAGTTCATTGAATGGCATAAAACTACCAATGCAGAAGAATGTGAGGAATATCATAATGTCTTAGGGAATACCGTACTGAATCACGTGCCGAAGTTCCATAACATGACAGCAATGTATTAGCCTTTCAAGCTAAGTCACTTCTCTGTCTATGTACCTTCATTCCCAATTCCATGTCCGTATACTGGTCCCATGAACATTTGAGTACCCTGTACACCAGATGTAACTATATCTTTTTGGCTTGAACAGACTATGAATATTGAATGTGAAGGTCACTCACATGACCTCACTTGGTAACAAGAGGAGGTACTGAAAAAAAAAACATCTTTCAAACAACTATAGGAAATTTGGATAGTAAAAATTGGCAAAGAAACCAATTTTTGAAGAAAAGTCCACAGTAGAAAATCTGAATGATTTTTTTTCCTAAATCGACCTTTTACTGAATTCATCTATTGCCAAGGATCATTGGCTCCAATATTGAAGCGTAATATCTTACAATAATTAAAAGCAAAAGCTTATGAGATGAGATGTGATGTACAGGGCTACTTCTGTTTTATAAAAAAACGCTAGTGTAAACTATGACAACAGTCTCATACTGTAGATCCTGAGGAAGATGAAAACTTAATATGATCATATAAGCTTGATTAATGAAATTTACATGGGGGGAAATCTTGGATAAAATCATTCCACATTTCAGCAGCAATAGAGTTCCTTAACTGTGAAGCATCATGTACAACTTCTTCAGAATCAAAAGTATGATCTGATGCCTGAGTCTGGCTCTCGACATCCATCTTTGGTGCCACTGCCATCTCTAATTGGGGTTCTGATTCCTCCATTGGAAATGAACCATGCTCATACATCTTGAAAATCCAATCGTCTGGCTTCTCATTGCGAATGAAATTGTGTAATGCACATGCAGCCACTACCAACTTCACTTGTGTTTGTAATGGGTAAGAAGGAGCAGACATCAATATAGGAAATCGTGCCTTTAAAGCCCCAAAAGTTCGATCTATGACGTTTCGAAATATTGAGTGCCGTTGATTGAATAGCTCTGTAGCATCTTGTGGGTGGAAATCGCTGGGAAATTCCTTGTAGTAGGGAATGGAATATGGAGCAACGAAACCTGGCACATTTGGATACTTACTGTCTACGATGTAGTATCTACCTGTATCATAGGACAGAGTGTATGGAAGTCATAGGAAATAATTAATCATTTGACCCTTAAGTTTGCATCATGTTTCATTTTTGTTGTGTTAGCTTCATATGTTTCGATTAAGTCTTGAATATAAAAAGTTGGAAATGTTTTCCATTAGTTGCTCTGTGAACATAGGAATACATCTCCAATCAATCACCTAAGGTGGCATTTGCCATTGTCATCTCCTAACCATCAATCTCTCAAGTACAACCAAATAAAAGTTGAAATTAGCTAAATAATGAAATATATACCATCTTGATCAACTTCAATTTGATGCAGCTAAAGGATAGATGGTAAAAGTTTCCAATACGTTTGGTTCAAATGATAAAAGGAAAAGGGAGAGTCTCCTTTTTGTGTTTGGTTCAAGAAAGGGGAAGGGAAAACATGAATCACACACTGCAATATCATTACTAATATTAAAGGAGATGAGGAAGCAATTTAGCTGGTATAGTCCAATAGTTATAAATTACACTATTTCCTATAAATTCACTCAATATCAGAGGAAAGAAAAATAGATGGAAGGGGGATTTTGGAGGCCACTCATTTCCTCTCCACCCAAATAACCTTTTAAACAAAAAGATATCAAATTAAAAAAAAAATGCTCTCCCTTTATTTCCCTTCAATCAAATACACCATGCTTTTTATTTTCAAACCAAATTAATGGGCATTTGCGGAGAAAACATAATATCCTCAAATCCAAAAAATGAGAAGCCGCTCAACCCCTATATCATCTCTTTGAGCTTTGCCTAGAACAAACATAGGGACGGTCAACGAATCAACAGGATTCGAAGAAAGTGTGAGAAATGGACAGAAGAAAAGGAAACGTATGGATTTTGAGTGTGCGAGAAATCGACCCAAGAAAATTAAAGGAAAATTGTTCATATAGTAATGGATGAGTCAACAGGATTGACGTCTAGTATTTCCACATTACGGAGACTGAATCTCGACTTTTTTGGGGATAAGTAAAAACCAGTTCAAACAATACACAAAGTTAGAGAAGCCCAACAGAGAGCAACATGAAGATTTTTTTTCTTCTATTTGGTTTGAAGAAGGGATGAATCATAACATGCATAATTTCACAACAATGAACCAAAAACATTTTTTGAGCTGGAAGTGAAGTTTCATTCCATATCAACAGTTAATTTCGAAGGGATTGTTACATATACAATGCGCAAGAAATGTAATTGACTGTTTTTTATACAAAAATGAAATGGGTAGCTGGTTGAAAGGGTTGGTTATAAAAACATTACATCTTGTTACTCTGGTTTATTTAGGACATAATTGAAGCATAAAACTTTTGATACAAGAATGAAATTGATATGAATTTAAAAGGCCAAAGGAGTTCAGATCTTCCAAATCAGTATATCATACAACTGAAATAGAATGACTTTAACTTCCGAGTGTTAGAAGTTGGTTTTATTCAAGAGGCAGAGTTCAAACAGTATTACAACCTAAATCATAACTGCATTTTACATAAATTTACCCAAATAAAATAACAGAATATTTACCTTCAGGGACCTGCAAGTTGTTCCGTCTTGTAATTGCTGAATTAAAAACTTGCAAGTCTGTAGCAGATCCTTCCCATCCAGCCAAAACATAATGGAACTTGAGGTCAAACGAGCAAGCTGCTAGAATATTCTGTGAAAGTAAACCATTCTTGTTGCGGAAAGGTCCTTGCTCATCTACACCTACCGTCACTGGTACATGTATACCATCAATTACTCCCACACAATCCTATTAAAGAGTTTTTAAAAAGTAAGACAAAATCAACCCATACAAGATAGTGATCAACGTCATTTCTGAAATCTTACTTTAAAATATGGATAAAATCTAGGATCTTCAGATATTTCTGAAGGAACAACAGAGCCAGGAGGCTGAAATAGTTCCAGTGAAATTGACATTATAGCATTCAAAACATGGTTAAAGTGACGACTAATAGTTTCTCCAGAATAACGAAATAACTCTTGAACTGCTCTTGTCCGTAGATTATGTCCAATTATGAACACAAATATGGCTAGTTGCTCCTCAATTTTGATTCGATTTGTGTGACGCAATAAACCCTTGGCTTGCAGGATATTACATAACTTATAAAATACGTGTTTATCCATGCGAAAACTCTCCAGACAACATTCATTTTGACCATTGAGTACTTCGTCAACAAATTTTGCACCATTAGATGCTAAACGAATCAGTTCCTTGGGGACATGATTTCTGGAGACTCCATCATTTTCCTCTTCAGAACTCTCCATTAAGGAATTATGACTGATTCTGAGTTCTGACAGATGTTATATGTCAGTAGATAGAAGTATGAAAACGAAATTTGTCGTACCATAAAAATGTAAATCAATGGCCAATCATTCATACCTTTTCAACCCCTTCCTCCCTTTCTCTTTCACTTGAGTGGGACTAAAAGCCAGACAAGGTTTCTCAAATTTGGCAATTATGGCCTAGTTACAAACAGAGCTTAGCTCCACTCCCGGCACATCTGAATATAGGCTTCATTTATCAAAAAATAAACACTAAAGACGGCACAAAAAAGAGAAATGCTCACAACAGCTCTTTTAAATACCTCAAGTACTGACTTAAGCATACCAGGAACAACAATTTTTCATGCGCCTAACTTCGTATTTATTTAATCTCCCTCGTGAATGTATAATCTACAATAACTACAACAAACAGCAGCAAAGAGTGACTTACTAGCAATGATCAAACTAAAACTTCAAGAATGCACAAAAAGTTACGAAAACCTAAGTAAACACCATCAATGTACACACATTAGAAACAAGACGAGCCTCAACCTCACACGATGTTTTGAAACACTGTTCGCGATCGCGATTGTGGCACCAACGTCAACGCGACCGCAGTTATGGTCGCATTTATCTGTTATTTCGCGCAATACCAAAATAACCGCAATTGCGGCAGCAATTCAAACCTCTTCTGCTCACACAACAGGTTCAAGTAACGCAGCTACAAAATGAAGAGAGAACATTCGCAAGCTCTTGTTACAAACAATTACGGCGAATTCGCACCTTAGATAAATGCGTCACGCTCCCAGCTTGTCAGCATAGAAGCAGTGAAACCGCAATTCTAAATGGTTAAAGTGTTTCACGGGCCCAAATTCTTTGAATTTCATGAAGGCTAATTCTGTCATTTACACAGTGGGTTGCTGTTGCACTGGTTTGAAAGTGGAATACATGAAACGGTGCGTTTCACTAAAGCAACTAAAGCAACTAAAGCAACTAAAGCAAAGGCAGTTTCACTAAAGCAAAGGCAGCTGCTATGATTTTACTTTTGTAAAGTCTGGACCATTTCATTTTGGAAGAGTAACTCTTCGTGTTAGGGTTAGGGTTAGGGTTAGGATTGATAGAGAACGGGAGAACTTCATGATGTCACTTAATCGGAGGATGGACATGATCGGAGGGTAGACGTGATCGAAGGATGGCATGATCGAAAGNAAACATAATATCCTCAAATCCAAAAAATGAGAAGCCGCTCAACCCCTATATCATCTCTTTGAGCTTTGCCTAGAACAAACATAGGGACGGTCAACGAATCAACAGGATTCGAAGAAAGTGTGAGAAATGGACAGAAGAAAAGGAAACGTATGGATTTTGAGTGTGCGAGAAATCGACCCAAGAAAATTAAAGGAAAATTGTTCATATAGTAATGGATGAGTCAACAGGATTGACGTCTAGTATTTCCACATTACGGAGACTGAATCTCGACTTTTTTGGGGATAAATAAAAACCAGTTCAAACAATACACAAAGTTAGAGAAGCCCAACAGAGAGCAACATGAAGATTTTTTTTCTTCTATTTGGTTTGAAGAAGGGATGAATCATAACATGCATAATTTCACAACAATGAACCAAAAACATTTTTTGAGCTGGAAGTGAAGTTTCATTCCATATCAACAGTTAATTTCGAAGGGATTGTTACATATACAATGCGCAAGAAATGTAATTGACTGTTTTTTATACAAAAATGAAATGGGTAGCTGGTTGAAAGGGTTGGTTATAAAAACATTACATCTTGTTACTCTGGTTTATTTAGGACATAATTGAAGCATAAAACTTTTGATACAAGAATGAAATTGATATGAATTTAAAAGGCCAAAGGAGTTCAGATCTTCCAAATCAGTATATCATACAACTGAAATAGAATGACTTTAACTTCCGAGTGTTAGAAGTTGGTTTTATTCAAGAGGCAGAGTTCAAACAGTATTACAACCTAAATCATAACTGCATTTTACATAAATTTACCCAAATAAAATAACAGAATATTTACCTTCAGGGACCTGCAAGTTGTTCCGTCTTGTAATTGCTGAATTAAAAACTTGCAAGTCTGTAGCAGATCCTTCCCATCCAGCCAAAACATAATGGAACTTGAGGTCAAACGAGCAAGCTGCAAGAATATTCTGTGAAAGTAAACCATTCTTGTTGCGGAAAGGTCCTTGCTCATCTACACCTACCGTCACTGGTACATGTATACCATCAATTACTCCCACACAATCCTATTAAAGAGTTTTTAAAAAGTAAGACAAAATCAACCCATACAAGATAGTGATCAACGTCATTTCTGAAATCTTACTTTAAAATATGGATAAAATCTAGGATCTTCAGAAATTTCTGAAGGAACAACAGAGCCAGGAGGCTGAAATAGTTCCAGTGAAATTGACATTATAGCATTCAAAACATGGTTAAAGTGACGACTAATAGTTTCTCCAGAATAACGAAATAACTCTTGAACTGCTCTTGTCCGTAGATTATGTCCAATTATGAACACAAATATGGCTAGTTGCTCCTCAATTTTGATTCGATTTGTGTGACGCAATAAACCCTTGGCTTGCAGGATATTACATAACTTATAAAATACGTGTTTATCCATGCGAAAACTCTCCAGACAACATTCATTTTGACCATTGAGTACTTCGTCAACAAATTTTGCACCATTAGATGCTAAACGAATCAGTTCCTTGGGGACATGATTTCTGGAGACTCCATCATTTTCCTCTTCAGAACTCTCCATTAAGGAATTATGACTGATTCTGAGTTCTGACAGATGTTATATGTCAGTAGATAGAAGTATGAAAACGAAATTTGTCGTACCATAAAAATGTAAATCAATGGCCAATCATTCATACCTTTTCAACCCCTTCCTCCCTTTCTCTTTCACTTGAGTGGGACTAAAAGCCAGACAAGGTTTCT